ATATTTAGGAAATAGCAAGATAATTTACAAACACGATACAGTTGTATTATATAAGTACAGTAAGGCGGCCTTATTTGCTGAGAGCAATCTTTTCAAGACAACCTTAAGGTAAATTAAAGGACTAATTGTTGTACAAGTTATTTAATATAACATCCCTATTACTAACAATCCCTTCCCCCAACCGAAGCTGTTGTAACTATCTAGAAAAATCTTTTAATTTTTTTTATGGGTGATAATGAAATGGCAACCCCGCCTGCGCTAACGATATACGCTGGCGGAGCACCAGTGACGGCTGATCGATGAGAATGAAAACAGGCCAGTTTGCCTATCATGATGAATTCATCAGGAATCAATCATGATAGTTTCCAGGGGAAACCGCGTAGAGGTCGACCTGGCTGTGTATATTAAAAAAAAAAAAAAAACTTTATTAACTAATACAGGGTTACACAGTTACATGTTTTTTGCTCTAGCTTACAAATTAGAGTAACCTGTGCCTTGTAAACCAGAGGAAGCCAGACTTGCTAGCAATAGGATTTTAAGTCTTCATTACTAACAATCCCTTTCGCCCCAATCTTTTAATTTATGACAGTGATGCCAACACAGCTCCCATACTGAAGAAGCTTCACAAAAATAAAGACCTCCAGCTGATACTGATCGACATACTCAATGACTTGGTCAGGCGAGACGATGTCCCGTGCATCGCGGTGATATGCGATGCGATTTACTTGAACGTGTTCGACACTGTTTTCTTTAAAAGAATGTTCGGTGTTCCTTTGGTAATGGTCAGTATGTTTTCCTTATAAAATATTACAAGAAACCTGCTTGCCAGGTACAAAACACAGGCATAAGAACGGAATGTGCTAAGAATGTCTACAGCAATAGTGTGACATTTTTTAAATGGATTATCTATTTAAAACAAAAAATCAATGCAATGGTAACCCCATTTTACTTTTACCAGAGGGAGACTGTACAAAAGTCGTTTGCTTGGGTACCTCTGTCCCATTCGTGTTTCAACCGTATAGCAGTTGTGTTTGCATGGATGTTTTTCGGTTTGAAGGGTGGGATATGGCGTGAATTTACAGGGTACTGAGGAATAACACCTGAGTCCTCAGGAATGGCAACGCATGGGGGGTATCATGGGCGTAACAGTATACTCTGTTATGTCCATGGTACTGCTCATGTCTATAGGCGACGGTTACCACTTTCCATCAGGTGGACCGTCAGCTTGTTTGCCATTCTAAGTTGTATATAAAAAAAATTATAAAAGTATCATTCTATTAACACTCATTAAAAAAAAAGAGCGTGATAGACCCTGCCTGTGTTATCGATATACGCTAGCGGAGCACCAGTAAGGAATGGTAGGTGAGGATGAAAGCAGGTCAGTTGGCCCATAGTGATGAATTCATCTATAATTAATGACTGTGACTTCCAGGGGGAACCAGGTACAGGGCTATCTGATGAGGTATATTTTTATCTATGAAGTGATTAGATTCCCATTACTGACAACATCAGGTCACGTGGTTGCCGTGTATTTTTTTTATGGATGAAAATGGAATGGTAATCCCACCTGCGCTCACGGTATACGCTGGCGGAGCACCAGTGAAGGGTGATCGATGAGAATGAAAACAGGCCAGTTAGCCCATCATGATAAATTCATCAGGAATTAACCATGATAGTTTCCAGGGGGAACCGCGTGGAGGTCGACCTGGTTGGATATATTGCTAGCAATGGGATTCTTAGTCTCCATTACTAACAATCCCTTTCCCCCCTGGTTGCCGTGTAGTCCCGGCATAAAACTACCCCTTCCTTTCCCGTGGGTGTTGTAAGAGCGGAAACTTTCCAAAAAATGATCGAAGTTAGTTTTTAGTCATATTAGTCACGATGTGAAGCGAAAAAACAGCGTATGTAGGCACTAATATCATAGTGTACAGGAATGGCAACGCGTAATGGGTACCATGGGCATCACGATTGTATGATTTTCATGGTGTTACTAATTCCATCAAACTATCATGGATCTGCGATTATATAATATGTTTACATTTTTCTAGATCGTGGTAGAGGAATTTGAGGACTTGTTGTCACCAAATTTTGATACTTTAGAGTCTTTGAGAGAAGCAAGAAAAGAAGGATGCGATCCCTACCTCATTCTTCTAGCCAATGGTCTGCAGACCTCGAGATTGCTGAGATTTGGGGACAGGTACGTATGTGGATAAAAAACTACGTTTTGTCGTGTGGTCCCACTATAGAATGAGCCATCTCTTCTTTTCCCGTAGGTATCGTAAGAGATGACTAAGGGAAACGGATGGGGAGCAACGCCCCTCTTAAAACATCACCAAAGTCCGCAGTCGCCAATCCGCCTGCCAAGTGTGGCAACTACTAGAAAAACTGGCAAAATATGGACAGCATTTTTCATCAGTGTTCATTCAGCAGTGGACAGTTAATGGCTGAAATAATAATAATAAAAAAAAATTGTTATTAAGTACCATATTTATTCAGCAAACAATTGTCGGAAGCGACAAACATACAAGTTGATTAAGTTTTCGTTAATCAATCATAAACCTAAACTAAAAAAGACGTGATTTTAACGATGTTGCGATTTATAAGGGATCGACATTGGAGCAAACCAAAATCGACTGCAAAGAAACCTTCACAATTTGTTCAAAATTGATAAATTTCATCGTTCATTAACTCTCAAAAAAAAAAATAACATAAGTTTTATTAATGTGCTAAAATACTTTTCAATGGATGACAATGGAATGGTAACCCCGCTTGTGCTATCGGTATACACTGGCAGGGCGTATGTGAAAGATGATAGATTAGGATGAAATCAGGTCAGTTAGCCCATCGTAACGAATCCAATAAGAAATAACCACGATGGTTTCCAGGATCTGGGTCTGATTCTGTATATTACTAGTAATAGGGCTATTAAACGCCATTACTGACAATCCCTTTCCCCCCGATGCAAGCAGGTCAGCGCATCGTGAAGATAAGAATTAACCAAGATAGTTTCCAGGAAGAATCGCGTTGAGATCGAATTGAAGCGAAGTGATAGGTTATATTGCTAACAATATTTACTGCTTTAATTCACAGGTACAGGATCTTGGACACGAGAGCGAAATACATAATGCTGTATGACTACCGTTTATTCCATAGCGACCTCCATTACATATGGAAAAGGATCGTGAACGTAATCTTCCTGCGGTACCATAACAAAATTACTGGAATACTAAAGAGCAAAGCTTGGTTCGACCTGTCGACTGTACCCTTTCCCAACCCCATAAAGAAGGTGTTCGTCTCCCGGCGGGTAGACATCTGGAGGAACGGGAGGTTTCATTACAACAGAACATTGTTCGCTGATAAAACTAGTGATCTTAATGGGGAGGTCCTGGATGTTGTTTATTTAGATCACGTGCCCTCTGTAGTGGTGACGATGTCGAATGATTCTAATAAGGTTGGAGGTGTCGAAATTGAAGTGAGTTGAGTGACAAAGTTTCAAAACCAGTTTGTAGAACAGACGTACCTAGTTCTATTAGTATTTCTGCTGTTAAGTGTTTGGCTGTATAGCAGGTCAAGGGTGGGATATGTCACAGAAACTGTAGGATGGATGCATTTAGTTCATAGGAATGACAACCCATGAAAGGTACGAGGATGTTATATTGTATACTGTAATTCACGTTTATAGGCGATTGCTAGTTATTATTGTCCATCAGGTGGGCCATCAGTTTGTTTGTCATATTAAGTTCCATAAAAAAAACTTCATAAGAAAATTCCACGTCTTTGTGTGAAAATATTGTTACATATAGAATCCTCCTTAATATTAGGTACTTACATAGACAATTTTACATTTTCATTGGCATTATTTTAGTTTTTGCGTCGACACGTTTTGTTTTATCTTATTTACTAGCATTTACTTTCCATTCCATAGGATGTTTTTAAAACCTTAGTTTTCTTTAACAGCAGACAATTTTTTTCTTTCATGCGTGTGCCACAGTAACACGAAATAGTAGATCTTTGTACCCTAAATAGAACGGGCCTACCGAAGAGCTCCGCAAGACGAACATTTTTAAGATTTCTTGATCAGGTTTAAATGGTGTTTTGCTTATAAATTTTCCAGATTCTCAATACACTATCTGAAAAAATGAATTTCGTACCAAAACTGTACGAGCCAATAAACGCTGACATCTACAAATGGGGCAGCAAGTTACCGAACGGCTCTTTCTCGGGGCTTTTGGGGGAAATGGTGAACGGTAATGCCGATCTTGCACTGGGCAATCTTCAATACAACCCATATCATTTGGAGTTAACAGACTTGAGCATTCCTTATACTTCGCAATGCTGGACCTTCATTACTCCGGAAGCATTGACCGATAATTCCTGGAAGACCCTCATACTGCCTTTCACGTAAGATTTTTGAAAAGTATCTGTTTTTAACTCTTGGAACAAAAAGAAAAGTGTAAGTTAAAGTTTAAAGTCAGATCTGCGTGATATGTCTCGACGTAACTCTTTACTGGTTGGTAATTTGGATCTGGACGATACCAGAATATTAATATTATAGTTCTTGTTTATTTAGACTCCTTTACTTATGCGTAAACTTTATCTATGTGATGTAATATGAATATCTTGTATTTCTTTCCTCCCTTCCTTCTCATCCTTAGGATGTTATAATGAGGTAAGTGATAGAAGGAAAATTCGATAAAAATATACCAATCCCCATGCTGTAGTTGTGCTGGATGAATATTGGAAATTTTGTGAAACCATAACAAAATCTTTAAAATACTTACTGGGATTAGACAGACAGAAAAACTCTATTTTATTTATTTATTTATACATTATTGTACACAAAAATTGCATAGTTCTTTTTCTATATGAAATGAAGATTTACAACAGGCGAACTTTATTATTTTTCCTACTGTGTAAGGTTTACACGATTACTTATTTGTCCATACCAGTTGGGACTATGAAAAAAGCATATCCCTGACTGCTCTATCTGAAATTACAATTATGATAACAGAACCGTCCGAAGTAGTCGGTTTTACTAGAGGGAGACTTTGTACAAAAGTCGATTGCTTGGGTACCTTTGTCGCATTCGTGTTTCAACCGTGAAACAGTTATATTTGCATGGCTGTGTTTCGGTTTGAATGGTGGGATATAGCGTGAATTTACTGGGTACAGAGAAATAACACTTGAGTCCTCAGGAATGGCAACGCATGGGGGGTATCATTGGCGAAACAGTATACTCTGTTATGTCCATGGTACTGCTCATGTCTATAGGCGACGGTTACCATTTTCTATCAGGTGGGCCGTCAGCTTGTTTGCCATTCTAAGTTGTATAAAAAAAAAGGTACTTATATTTTTATTTTCAGTTTGTACATGTGGATAGCTGTATTATTAGTTTTGCTAATAACTGGCATGATATTCTATGGTTTGGCGAGGTACTACATAAATCTTCAAGAATTTAAGAAGCAGAATAGGCTAGAAAACGATAAGAAACAAGTGTATGATGATACTGGTTCGTATATAATCTTAGTTTATCAATCGAAAAATCTTGTTGTTAGGTAAAATATGCGCATCTAATTTACCTATATAAATACTTAAAACGGCGTATAGTCCCGGCATCGAATGGACCACTCCTTTCTCCGTGGGTGTCGTAAGAGGCGATTAGGGAAACTTAATGGTCGATGGATGAGCAGCAGCGTTCCTCTTTAAACATCAGCGTAACTGCGGTTGCCAATCCGCCTGCTAAACGTAGCATTTAGAGGCAAAATTTCAACGGGCCCCAATTAGGGGGATGCCTATGTTCAACAGTGGACAGTTAACGGCTGATGTGATAAAATATATGTAAACACAGAGTGGGAATTAAATTTATGACCCGTACGTTTTAATAATTGGTAACTTATGCAGATAAGATAGTTGTAGATTTTCAATTGCGGTGATTAATTTTGATGACAATAAGGAGCATTAGAAAAATGAATCAATTGACTTTCAATTGAAAAATAATCGTCAATATCGATTTCAAATTGTTGAAGATATAAGTAATAATATACACACAAAAAATACAAGCGAAGTTGAGAACTTTTTTGAAATGGTTAAAAATACAGCCTCTGTCTACATCGTTGATGTCAATGCCCATTGCACAGAGCCCTGAGTCATGTTTACTTTGCAGATGCGAAACCTGTCGGGCTGTATTTGTTTGGACAAATCATTAACAGTATCCTGTATACTTATGGAATGCTTCTTGTGGTGTCCTTACCCAAGCTACCTACTGGTTGGTCGATTCGTTTACTCACAGGATGGTATTGGCTTTACTGCATACTTCTCGTCGTCTCTTACCGTGCTAGCATGACTGCGATTTTAGCTAACCCAGCGCCAAGAGTCACAATCGACACCCTGAAAGAGCTCATTGACAGCAAGGTGACATGTGGTGGATGGGGAACAGAAACTAAGAAGTTCTTCGAACAATCTTCTGATGAAATACAAAAAATAGGACAGAGATTCGAAGAGATAAACGATCCATTTGAGGCAGCTAATAAAGTTGCGAAAGGCATTTACGCATATTATGATAATGAAGATTTCCTGAAATATATAAGCGTTAAAAGGAAAAATGTTATGGTTAACGTAGAAAAAGAATCTTTTAATGTCACCATGAACATAACGGAAGTAGCACCCAGTAGTGATTCAGAGAGAAATTTACACATAATGTCCGATTGTGTTGTGAACATACCTATTTCTATAGGCTTTCATAAGAATTCCCCTTTGAAACCATTGGCTGATAAATACTTGAGAAGAATAGTCGAAGTAGGTTTGGTGGAGAAATGGTTGAATGATGCCATGTACACTATAAAATCTTTGGAACAAAACGAGAATGAAATTAAAGCTTTAATGAATTTGAAAAAATTATATGGTGCCTTCATTGCTTTAGCTATTGGGTATATTTTGAGTTTTATATGCATAATTGGTGAACTAATACACTGGCATTGTATCGTTAAAAGGGATCCGAATTATGACAAGTATGCTATGGATATTTACTACATGAAGAAAAATAAAAAACAATAATATATGAAGAACATTGTATTAAAATCAATTACATTAAAACATGATTGTCTAGAATTAATTAAATGTAATAAATATCTAGTTCAGTCAATTCTAATCTAAGTTTTATAATAGTATTGAAACACTTTTTTGTTGTCTTAGCAAATAATTAGAAAATATGTGAACTAATAAATTTATAATCTAGCAATACATAATTATCAATTATACACATTTGATAAATCAGAATTCAGCATAATTTATTGAGTTTTCATCAAGACTGTTGCTCTGCTGTATATACAGTGGGTTGAGCTCCCTCTGGTGCATTTTCCAGTATCCAAGGATGCTGTAAGACATGTGCTAAGGGCAGCCTTTGTTCTGGATTAATTACTAGCAATTTCCCCATTAAGTCTTTAGCTTTCTCTGAAACGAATTCAGGATATTTTATAATTACATATCTTATTTTCCTGTATGTCTGGTGTGTATCTTTGGCATCAAACGGAGGTAGGCCCACAAGTAATTCATAGCAAAGTACACCGAGGCTCCATATATCAACGGCATAGCTATGTGGCTTCCCATCTATCATTTCTGGAGACAAGTAATCCAGTGTTCCACACAATGTCATTCTTCGAGAGGACGGTGAGTGGACCGACCATCCAAAATCAGCAATTTTAAGCTCCCAATTATGTCCGATCAACAGATTTTCAGGTTTAATGTCCCTGTGTATAACTTTCTTTGTGTGGCAATATATTAGTGCTTTAGTTAAGTCCCTGATATAAATAGCAGCAGTCTTCTCATCGAAACGGCCACGTTCCTTCAATAGTTTGTAGAGAGCGCCATGTTTAGCGTACTCGAGTATTAGATAGATACGTTTCTCGTCGTGGAAGTAACCATACATACGCAGTATATTAGGATGGCGGAGACGACACTGAATTTCCACTTCGCGCCGCACCTGATGCTCTATTTCGGAGTCTAAAATCTGGCTTTTAAACAGTACCTTTAATGCAACGACGTAGTGGGATTCCTTCTCTCTTGCTAAGTAAACATTGCCAAATTTACCTTTTCCAAGGGGTCGCCCGAGATCGAAGTCGGTGACTGACCACGATTTTTTCTTGTCATCCTTTTTGTTTGACGATTCTGGCTTTATACATGCAGAGGAGTCCTTCGCTTCATTTATTACTTTCGTATTATTTTGCAGTGGACGGCTAACGGGGACAGCTGGCACTTTAAAGCTGTCGGTGGCCATTTTTTGCGTGTTTGCGGAGCACTTGCATACAGTCCGACCATCGCTTAATAAACGATTCTCTTTACAATTACATTTATTTACAAACATAATAATTTATAAGTCTCTTTTTATAATGACATAAATTACAACACCTGCGACCTGAACAACTGAATTCGAAGTTTTGAATAACGTATTTTTCCGTCGTTTAAATAAAAAAATTCTGTGCTGTCAATCCATAATGTCAATCAATATTAGTCAATCTGTCAATGTTCTTTTCGTTCGAGGTTTTATTTCTAAATTAACAATACAGCATTTAGATTTGATTTTGTAAGGTGCAATGCCACAACCAACAATTATGCAGCTTGACTCAACTATGTATGTATTGCTGTTTATAGAACTTAAACGGAACAATTCCATCTTTTTCGTTTTACCCACAAAAAATGCGCACGTAATACATTTGGTATTTCAGACGTTCATTGAGGACGATAACTATTTGCTATCAGTTGGACTTATGCTTGTTTATCACCTAAGTTGTAAAAAACCCATAGTGGATAAGAAAATAGACCGTGTATGAAGAAAAATTAATTTTTGATTGATAATGATTGACATCATTCTTTGAATCTTGACAATTTATATTGACAATTATGGTTTTTTTTCGCGGGGAAACTCGAATAAGAACAAGCGGGTTTTTTAAATTTTTTTTATTAATTTATTAAAACTATCTCTATCAATTCTTATTATTGAATAAAATATTATATTTTCACTAAATTCAGCGACAGTAATATAATTAGCATTCATGGGGAAGCGCAGTTGTAGAAAAAGGAAAAAAAAAAGATGACGATTCAGGTGATGTAGACCATGAACCTTGTAATGACAAGGATATATATTCGGAAGATACTTCTACTGACTCAGAATCTGAAATTGATAAGGCCGATAAGTATAAACCTTACTACGTCACAGATTATATTAGAAGATATCCCGAGGAATCCCCTGGGACAGAATTTGTTGTCTTTGTAGAATCCTCAGATAGTCAGAAAACCATTGGATCCAGAGACTTGCTCTCACTCTCCTCCTGTTTAAAACGATTTAATAAAGGGGTAACTTATCTTAGATCTATAAATAAATTCAAAATCGGAGTATACTTTCAAAAGCCAGACTTAGCCAATGCTTTTTTAAATAATAAAACTTTTTTAAATGACTACCATTTTAAGGCCAGTATTCCTGCTTCTTCAACAGAAGTTACAGGCGTTATTAGAAATGTACCTACAAATATATCTAATAAAAAAATATATACTATGATATCGAGTTCTAAGAAAATTATTGCTATTAAAAGAATTTTAAGAAAAAATACCTTGACTCATGGATATGTGTTACAGCCAACTCTAACCGTGACAATTACTTTTGCTGCATCTGTATTACCTGAATATCTGGATATTGGAGGTTGGCGCCACAATGTCACTCCATATATACCACCAGTTAAACAATGCTACCGGTGCTTGAGGTATGGACATTTAGCTAAATTCTGTAAGAATTCTGAGCGTTGCAGCATCTGCAAAGGTGAGCATAATTATAAAACTTGTACAACTGGAATGGAAAACGCTATTTGTGTACACTGCAATGGAAATCACACAAGTGTATCACCGCAATGCCCTGTTAAACAAAAGAAAATTGCTGAAAATAGATCTAAATTCAGACCTGCTTCTTTTGGAGATATACTTAGCACTGAAATATTTCCTAAACTGGGTAACAAACCTAAAAAAAATGTAGACCTAATTTCAATTCTAAATTCTGATAACAAGAGTTTATCACTTTTAATAGAAAGCATAATCAAACTTATTTCACTACATAACACAAAGAACACATCTATTAACACTAAAAGTGTTTTGAATGTGTTATATGATACTTTTGGTAATAGACCTATTTCACAAAATTCAATCGAGACCAATTAACTATCATACAGTGGAACGCTCAGAGCCTACTGAGCAATCGACATATTTTTACACAATTTTTAAATGAACATCATATTCACATTGCTCTCATCTCAGAAACTTGGCTTAAACCACATTACAAATTAAAAATTAAAGATTATTGTATAGAACGAAATGATTGTGGTAATAACCACAATGGAGTAGCGATTATTATACATAATAGTATTAGATATAAAAAACTTCACTCTTTTTTCGACAATTCTTTGCAAACTATAGCTATTAGTATTGAAGTTAATAATTCTTGGTATTCAGTTGCCAGTATTTACTGTCCTACCAATAGTACACCTAGTTTTACTAAAGCCAAATTTAAGTTCTTTTTGGAGTCTCTTCCTAAACCCACTATCATATCTGGAGATTTAAATGCACATCATACTATGTGGGGTTGTACCTCCACTAATACAAGAGGTAAAGACATTCTTGATTGTTTAGATGAATGTAATTTGGTACTATTAAATGATAAGCAAGTTACTACTGTTGGCTCTCATATTTGGAGACCCAATGGCCTTGATTTAACTATGGTATCCCCATCCATATCATTAAAATGCGAGTGGTCGGTTCATGATGATCCGTTAGGAAGTTATCACCTGCCGACTTTTACTAAAATAAACACAAAGAACTCTTCATCAACTCCGTCAGGTGAACAACATGCTCCTATAGATGAAGTTAATAAACTTTTGTTAAATCGTATAAACCTACGTCTCGTTAATTGGGATCTTTATTCTGAAACTGTTAATCGATTACTTTTGGATTTCGAGTATGATGTCAATGAACCCTTAAACAATTACAATAGGTTCTGTAAAATTATTTTGACAGCTGTGGAACGTTCCGTTCCACGTAGGAACTTATCAAATAGCGGTGCAAATACTTCAAAGAGGCACAAACATATTGCAGTACCTTGGTGGAATAACAGGTGTGCGACAGCTGTCAATGATAGTAAAGCGGCTTACCTTAGGTTTAAACAAAATCCAACTCTCGATAATTACATAAATTTTAAAAGAGTTCAAGCTGTTAAAAAGTTAGTAATTAAGCAAGTAAGACAACAGGGGTGGCAGGAATTTTGTTCCAAATTTAATAGATTAACACCAATTTCCACTGTTTGGCAAAATATGAGAAAACTAAATTCAAAACATCGTCAAAATCATTTTAAAGATATATCATGGGTCAATGATTTTTTACGCAAATATACTCCTGATTTTGTACACTCACCTTTTGATGACAAACAGTTTAATTCTGTTAATTCATGCCCAAAATTTCTCACTGACCCATTCTCAATTGATGAAATATCCAGTGCAGTAAAATCTCGAAAAGATACAGCTAGTGGCCTTGATCGCTTAACATACAATATGTTTCGATTGCTGAATAAAATAAACCTTACTAAACTCTTACAAATTTTTAACGATTTATGGAAGGACTGTATTATCCCACCAGAATGGAAAATGGATTGTTTGATTCCAGTAATTAAACCCGGTAAAGATCCTACAAATTTCGACTCCTATAGACCTATAACATTGACGTCCTGTGCAGGCAAATTATTCGAACAATTAATTAAACAGCGTTTAGAGTTCTTTATTGAAAGTAATAGTATATTACCATCGAATCAATTTGGTTTTCGCCGTGGATATTCAGCGCGCGAAAGTTTAGCGAACTTCTATGTCGACCTTAGTACTGCTTTGAATAACGATGAATATGTTCTATCTGTTTTTTTAGATGTCGTAGGAGCTTTTAACAATGTAAATTTAACAGTTCTATCTTCGATTTTATCCTCATTTCTTCCAATGAAACTTATCGAATGGATTTATAATTTTCTTAGTAATAGAGAAGTGTATGTTAAAGTAAATAGTAAATTAATAGGACCTAGGTTAAGCTCTAAAGGAGTATGTCAAGGTGGTATTCTAAGCCCGCTACTATATATTTTATATATCTATAAACTTAATTCAATTTTAGGAAACAGTGTGAACAACTTGCAATTTGCCGATGATTTATTAATTTATATAAAAGGAAAGAATATTATTGATATGCAATTAGTGTTAAATGAGTCATTAAAAAGACTTGAGAAATATTTTTCTCTTCTTTCCCTCGATATTAGTTTAACCAAAAGTAAAGTAGTTGTTTTTCATCAAGTTCATAAATATGTTCCATTAATGAATATTATATATAATAATCAAACTCTTCCAACAGACTGTAGCGTTAAATTTCTGGGGGTAATTTTTCATCAAAATTTAAAATGGGATCTATACGTTGATTGCTTAGTAGATCGTGCTTTAAGAGCCACTAATATAATAAGATCTGTAATTGGTCGTAACTGGGGAGCTGATCCTAAAATTATCCTTTTACTTTACAAATCTCTTGTTAGAAGTAATTTTGATTACGCTTTCTTTTGTTATGCCTCAGAACATAAATTAGTAGAAAAACTCGAAAAAATTCAAAACATGAATTTAAGACTTATTTTAGGTGCTATGTATACTTCTCCAATTATCTCAATGCAAGTAGAATGTAATTTGCCTCCTATCCTTCTTCGTTTCGAATACCTAAAACTCAAATTTCTCTTCAAAGTTTTTTCAGTTTCCAATAACCCACTCATACTCAAATTATTAAATTGCCCCATTTCTATGTTTTTGAATAAAACTATTGTCAATGATTTGAATTTACGAGATGAATATAACATCTATAGTAGTAAGATACTTCCTTGTTATAATGGCCTTTATGAGAGTAAGTTCTGTAAAATCAAAATTGTTATACGTAAAGACATAAAAGAAAAGCACGATATGTATGAGACTTTATCAGAATTTATTGACTACAGGCAGATATATACAGATGGTTCCAAAAATGCACTTAGCACTTCAGTGGCTTTTTACGATTTGTCAAATAGATTTGGTCACGGTTATAAAATTTCAACTTTGGCTAGTATTTACACAGCAGAAGCAAAAGCTATATTTTTAGCATTAGAATACATAGAAAAACAGGTACTATATTCGAAATGGATTATAATTACAGATAGTATGAGTGTTCTTATGGCATTAAAAAATAACACATTCATTTCATCATCAAACTACTTAATTCAAGAAATTCGTAATAAATATTATCATCTCTGTACTATATATGGAAAAGATATTATCTTCATCTGGACCCCTTCACATATTGGAGTGTTTGGGAATGAACAAGTAGACACTTTGGCTAAAATTATTAATTCAAGTGCTGCTCGTGTTCAAGATTTACCCCTTTGTTACTCAGATTGTAGTATTGGAATACATAAAATCGTTACAACTAAATGGGAGGAGCATTGGACTCAAATATTACAGACTAAAGGCAAATGGTACCGCAAAATTAATTGGCGTATTGGAAAACCGTGGTTCTGCAAAGGAAAGGACACAAACAGAAAATTTTACACCAATATTTGTAGATTACGAATCGGCCACGGACATTTCAACGAACACCTGCACCGAATGGGCATGATCGCTTCCCCATCATGCACATGGTGTAACTCAAATACAGCCCAATCTCTACATCACCTTTTTTTTTGATTGCTCTGAATTTGTCATTCAAAGACACATTATGTTTGACGAACTTAGGATTATCTTCAAAAAACCCGAAAATATCCCGCACTCAATCCCGATTCTCTTAAGATTTCCTTCTTGTTTCAAAGCTATTTTCACTTATATTACTACAACATTCAAGGAGCTATAAGAATACTTTTATTGAATTGCAAGACAATGATTTTTTATAATTATTTATTTTTAATTTGATAAATCCACTGGTTTAAGAAAACTCAAGAAAAGATATTTATGAAAATGTACTTACCGGATTTGACAAATGAAATATTGAAGATTATGACAATAATTGAAGCGACATTAGAAAAATAAAATTCCAGACAAATTATCTTTTTGAAGACTAGGCAGCATGGTCTCCGACCTTAGCCTGTTCCAAACGGAACAAACGTACTAAAAAAAAAAAAAATTGACAATTATGACAACCAGCTGAACTAGCCCAGCTCAGCTGTTGATTCGAGTTCTTGCGAAATTTTTTAGATGAAATTTAAGAAAGCTTAAAAGAGTATTAATTTTAAATTGTGTTCAAACTATATATTTATTGTTTAATTTCAATAATTAGTATTATTTTAATTTTATTATAGTAAGGTTTGGTTGATGAGAATAGGCAAATTTGGTAAGTAATATATTTTCTTCTCATGTTTTAATTAATAAATGGATTAACGATTTAATAATGGTTTGCCAAAACTTGTTTCGTGATTTTTACTTTGTGTTGAGAATATGAATAAGAATTATTAACGAACTATAATTAATTCGATTAAAATATAGGTATGACAATTATTTTAGGTTAGAATTTTTATATTACCATACAAAATACATAATACATACAATATTTTGAATATTACACTTCACGTGTAATGTGTAATTAAAGTATATAACTTAGTTTTACAGAAAATCATATTTTCAATTTGCTGATGTTGGCATGGTTGTTTTTTTTTTTTCATAAATGAGAGCCATGAGTAAATTACTCGGATTTATATATATTAAAGTTAAAGTACATTAAATGTAGATTGAGGAATTGTCATCGAAAAAATTGTCACTAAGGTGACATTTGTAATCAAACCACTTAGTAACAAAAATGTTACTAAATTGTTTATAAGTTACAGAAATAAACACAGTCATTTAGGTAAATTAAGATAATTTACCTGAGCTATCTTAGACTAGGTTACACTGCCTGTAGTTACAAGTGGACTGATGTAATACTATCATGACTCCATCTCAAGCAATGCAAACATCTAAAAATGTCTAAACATTGGGACCCAAAATATGAAATAAAATGGGTTGTATAATTTGAGTATGAGGTTATGATGTATTTATATGTGCAGTTTCAGCTGCAATAGAATGGCTGATGATGCAGAACAGCAGGCTGAGGAAATTGAAGTGCTGAAATCCATCTATGAGGGAGATGAGAATTTCAAGCAGTGTGATCCAAAAACCTATCAATATAAGGTATGTTAAACATATTAAATGGTAACTGCAAGTTACTACTATGATAATACTATATACTATAATAATATAACTACTAATAACAGCTCCTTTCCCTGCATGAATAATTATAAATGGGATGTATTTGATGATCTTTATGGTGGTTTGTGTGGCCATGTGGTCCTGTCATCTATGACAGGACCACATGGCCACATTCTAATTGCTGTTCTAATAAGCCACCTTTTTCTTTCCCATAAATGTTGTAAGATGAGACTAAGGAAGTTTAATGATTGAGAGATTGGCAGTAGCATCTCTCTTTCAATATCATCAAAGCCTAACTGCAGTTGCCAACTCGCCTACCATGTATAGCAGCTACTAGCAGGCCTCTCCAATAGGGGGAGGCTTATGTTCAGCAGTGGACAGTTAATGGCTGAAATGATGATGATGATGATATTATATTATATATAATATTACTTAGTATAGTCACTGAATTATCTAATATATAAAATTCTCATGTCGCGGTGTTTGTTACCAAACTCCTCCGAAACGGCTTTACAGATTTTTATGAAATTTTGTGTGCATATCATGTAGGTCTGTGAATCTGCCAACATCTATTTTTCATACCCCTCAATGATAAGGGTGATCCACTCCAAAATTTTTTGTTTTCACTTTTTTAACAAAATTTTTTATTTTTATTTTATTATGATTTAGCATTGAAAAATACATACAACTTCACATTTTTACCCTGTTACGATAAACACCTATTTTTTTATCGCGATTTTTATATGCTGCACTATGGTTTCAAAATGACAATCGAATATAGTTCTAGAAATAATGTATATGGTAAAACAATGTTTACCGAGTCAGCTAATATTCTATATAACTACATGAAAGTAATTGTCTATTTTCATGTCAAGTCTCTTGCAAGGAAAACAAAAAATCTATTGTCAAAGGCCACTATTCTTACTTTTTTAGGTTCATCCACTTTTATAACCTTTCTCATGCATATACCATACACCAGCTCTAATATTATATGTATACATTTATATAAAATGTTTTCAAATATGTCCATTTGCATATTTAAGATTATTTTTCATTTATTTATTGTATTAAATCTGCTTAGTTAGACTTGATAGCTCTCTGTAGTTTCCCAGTTTTAGTAATATTAACTAATTAATATTTCCGCTGTCCAGTATATTGATGGAGAGAAGTCATTTGTTATGGAAATATCATGGGGCCCCACATATCCAACTGATAAACCAAAAGTGAATTTAGAAATTTTCTACAATCAGCATTTGTAAGTATAATATTTATATTGCTACGTTTAATACTTTAAGGAAGTTTATTTTTAAGACGTAATTTTTTTTTTTTACAAAATTCGACATTCAAATATGTTTTTTTTTTAATCACTACAGTTGTCTATAGGTGATAGTCACGACTTTGTTACGTTTTTATTGTTTAAAGTTTCCTAAGAAAACATTATTTTGCATTATTACATTAGAATATTTTGTTACATTGTGCACTGTCAGATTGTGCCCTTTTTTTTTTTCTTATTTTATACCACAAAGGCGGCAAACAAGCATACAATCTGTCTGGTGGTAAACGGTCACTGTAGCCTATTGGCGTCTGCAACACTAGGGGTGTCACATGCACGTTGTTGACCTTGAAGAAACCTTAATATAACCATTTTGAAGGACCCCATACATACCATCTCTAGGGAAAACCTCGGCAGAGAGTTCATTCCATAGTCTAAGTGTTCTAAATATTTTGAAAAAACTTGTCCAATAAAATAAACTTATACTTCCTGTGGTTTATCATAAGGTTTGGTGTTGAATATTCCAGTATAATATTTTATCAGTTTGCAACAATCAGAAGGAGCTCCCTGTCGAGGTTTTTCCAAGAGACTACAACATGGAGTTTTTTAAAAAAGGTGTAAAGAGGTTTCTTCAGGGTCGGCGACGCACGCGCGTGAAGTCTCTTGCATTGCAGACGTTCATAATCTACGGTAACTGCTTACCATCAGGCGGGCCGTATGCTTGTTTGCCTCTTCAGTGGTATATGAAAAAATCTTATTTTTCGAATAACACATTTTTTTTTAATGGGTGATAATGAATGGTAACCCTACCCGCGCTATTAGTATACACCGGCGGGGCACCAGTGAGAGATGATAGGTGAGGATGAAGCAGGTCAGTTATCCCATCCTGATGAATTCAACTAGATTTAACCATGATGGTTTCCAGGGGGAACTACGTGGAGGAGGACCTGATAAGGTGTATTACTAGCAACTACTAATTATATAAAACCAATGCATTTCCTAATATCTTTACAGGTTACCTTCGGTTAAAGAAAAAATATTATCTGTGGTAAACACTGAGGCAGAACAGTGGCTTGGTTGTGCTATGACCTACACATTATTTGAATGTCTCAAAGAGAAAGTTCCAGAGTTACTGGCCGAGCAGACCGAAGAATTGGTTGTCTCGTCGAGAGTTGAAAAAATTATTTTAGATGATAATGTAAGTCCTCATCATCATAGCACAGTTAAGATTACTATTCCATTTTCCTCTCAGAAAGAGTGTAATCTATTTTAGCAGTTTAAAACAGTGACAGTAAGAGTACAACATGACACCACTTTTATTGTTAAAAGTTAAAACACTTTATATTTTAATGTAATAAATACCAGTTTAACTTACGTGTAATTAGATTGATTAAGCTCGATTAGTGTTTTTTTTTGATGGGTGAAAATGGTATGGTAACCCCGCCTGCGCTAACGGGATACGCTGGCAGAGTACCAGTGAAGGGTGATGGATGAGTATGAAAACAGACCAGTTAGCCCATCATGATGAATTCATCAGGAATTAACCATGATATTTTCCAGGGAGAACTGCGAGGTGGTCGACCTGGTTGGGTATATTGCTAGCAATGGGATTCTCAGTCTCCATTACTAACAATCCCTTTGCCCCCTAGCTCGATTAGTGTTGAGATAAAAATGTACAGTACACTTATCTTTAACTAACTACATTTATTTAATACTAATTACTCTGGATTGGACTGAATTAAAAAATAAATAGAATTTATTTTGTTCATACTCCCGTCAAAACCAAATTGATTCTCTTTAATATATCTATATTTTATATATTTTTTATTCTTTATTATACACAAAACATACTGTTAATCACAATTCATTATAAACATAATGTACAAAGGCGAGCTTATCGCTAATAAGAGATTTCTTCCAGCAAAACCTTTCCATTTATATATTTTTGTTATTTGCATGTTCCATATTACTTACTATGTTTATAGCATGCCAATTGCTTTAACCATGATCTTTTTTATACAACTTAGAATGGCAGACAAGCTGACGGCCCACCTGATGGAAAGTGGTAACCGTCCCCTATAGACATGAGCAGTACCATGGACATAACAGAGTATACTGTTTCGCCTATGATACCCCCTATGCATTGCCATTCCTGAGGACTCGGGTGTTATTCCTCTGTACCCAGTAATTTCACGCCATATCTCACCCTTCAAAACGAAACACAGCCACGCAAACACAACTGCTTCACGGTTGAAACACGAATGGGACAGAGGTACGCAAGCAATCGACTTTTGTACGAAGTCTCCCTCTGGTAGCATGATAGTACATTTGTCTGGGTCTCAATCTAGTTCATACCATTGTACCTGTTGTGTATATGTAATAAAATAAAAAAAATCTGTTTCGAGCTTATATTGTGTGAGAAAATGTCCTACTGTTCTATCTCACTCTAACATATGTATTATTAGATTTTTTTCTCTTTTACATTGTCATTGCATTGGCCTTACCAATTTTTATACTTTATAACATAAGATGTCAACAAAAATGTATTATATTTTCAGATTGAAACAACAAAGAAGCCAGAGAAGAAAGAACATTTGACAAAAGCACAGAAGCGACGGGCGTGGGACAAAGCGGAGTTAGGTAGGGGCGGGGAGAAGCCGAGGGGATGGGATTGGGTGGATATAGTCAAACATTTGTCCCAAGTGCCCCACCAGCCCGCCCCTACCTCATGACAATGACAGGGGTAGTCACGTTGCTACCAACTGCCTGGATTAGACCGTCCGGTCGCAGCATCAATCTCTTTGTATCTCCTGCTTAGAAAAGTTGGACTCTATTTAAGGGAGTTTATACCGTAAGATTGGCAACAGTCTATTATAGGTAGCCAGCAGAGTCGGCAAATTGTTTTACCCGCTACCGCCATCTATCGGGTTAATTTTTCTTGTCGGGATAAAAATTATATTATCTATCCAGTTGGAGCAAATAATACAATGTAATAAAATATTTTAATAATTTTCCTATACTTTTAAATAAGCATGTTAGACTATAACATATTTATCAATGTGCCTATGTTTATAATAAAACTTTTGTCGTGAAATAAATAAAGTATATATATACATTTACTAAATTTCATTAAAATAGGTTCGGCGGTTTCAAAGATTGTATGAACGAATATTGTGACATGGAATGTATTAAGATATCATGAACTATGAAACCATAAAAAATGAAATTGTTCCTTATAGACTGTCTAGTTTAAGCGAGATAAAAGATAATTCTATCACTATCGTTCTGTCTCTTTTTCTATAAGATACAGTAATTGTGGTGTATTTGAGCTAGGCATAGCATCAATGCGAAAGGTCATGTAAGTTAATTTTCAACTGAATTAAAAAAAGGAGGACGTTTTCAATTGGGTGGTATTTTTTATGTTTGTAACTCATAACTGCGTCAGTTATAAACTGATTCGGAAAATTCTTTTTAAAATGAAAGGAGGAGAGGGGGGGGTTTGCCATGCTTGACCGGCATGTTGGTAACCGGAGCACCAAAGGAATTTGGTGAATTTTTAAGAGGGACACTGTAATCCATCCCTCGACCATTACAACACCCACGAGAAAGGAATACGAGGCTTATTTTATGCCGGGACACATGGCAACACGGATTGTATATATCATCATATCCTTTAACTGTCAACCTGCTGGTTTTGCCAGCAGTTGCTGTGCTTGGAAGGCGGATTGGCAACCACAGTTAGGCTTTGGAGATGTTTTAAGAGAGACGCTGCTGCTCATCCCTCGCCCTCCCATAGTCGCCTCTTACGACACAAAGGAATGGGTGGCCTATTCTATGCCGGGACCAACACGGCTACTACGGATTGTTTATATATCAAAATGACAATTTAAAAAATGATCTGAAAGTATACACAGATGTTAATTCAGAGTGTGTTTATTTATTATGTTTGGAAAAAGAATGTGTAGGTCATATATGTATGTAAAGATTGTATGTCAGTGAGGTATTTATATCAATGTTCTATAATTAATATATATGTTGCAGTCAAAACTCTTAACCAATCAAAAATACTATTGACTAGCAAAATCAGTTAAAAGTACTTTTGTCTGAACAGGTTGGTCAAAAGTGGTTTTGACTGAAAATTGCGATTAAAAGTACTCTTGACTGACGCTCTTCGTCAAAAGTAGTTTTAACTGCAATAAAGCATCACTCAAATATACTATTAACCCGTTAGATGTGAATAAAAAAGATATTCATTAAATGTGAAATCGTTTATTACAAAAAAATTGGCATTGCAATTAATACAAAGTAAACATACTAACCTAATTTAAGTAAAAAAGGTTAGGTTTAGTTTTGACTGGTATGTATGGTGGTATATATATATATATATATATATAATTGTTCAGAATATGGAGGGCTATGAAGGTAAGGAGAATTATTACATAAGAGGGTACAGAAAGTGTCTAGCTGTAAATAATAGTTGTAAAGCCCTCCAAAATGGCGCTAGAGTAGCAAGAGGGTATGGAATGAATTTAACAGTTATGGAGTAGCGCACTTCAAGTTCACTAGTAGAGTTAAAAAGTTTAACATCTTTATTAAATATATAATTGTTGTTCTATTTTAGGGGTTTTTTTTGAAAAGCACGACATTAAAAAGCGGAAGTGTTGCGTTCCCTGTTTATTTCTTTTAAAATTTACCCACTTGCTAATGTAGCGTCATATTTTAATGTCATTGGATACACATTTTCAAATAGAGAATGTTCTCTTCGTCTCTAACCTCTATAGATCAGATATTTTTTTATTTTTTAAATTTGGAATATAATGTTGCCAGTATTACGGTATGATCATTCTTGATATTTTTATAATTCAATGTGAGGTTGTAGTGGAATGAAATATATTTATGCATATAGCAAGACTGTATTGTAAATGTAATAATTATATTGATGTATATGATTGTTGAATTTGATTTTATTATGATTTCACCATATTATATTTAGAGATGGGCATAAATGAGACATTGCAAGTACCTAAATCTACATAAAAAAGGTCATTCGTAAATAGAATGATGTGTGTTAAAAACATTTGAAAAATGGTAGTCAAATAACATGTAATTTTAAGAAAAAATATCTGCCAATTTCTGGTGTTGCAAATAATAATTATATTTGACAGTTATCTCTGTTCACGAACTAATGAATCATCTATATCTAAGCGTGGTCTACGATATAAATCCATACAAGAATAAAAATGTTGATCTGTTTTTTACACAGCGTTTGTAGAGTGATGCTATAAATCTAAAATGTAGTTTGTGAAAAAAATTCATATTACCAATATAATAAAAGCTAATTTTTTTGGCAATATTTTTATTATTAATATTTTTGTTTCGTACAACCATAGATAGAGATATTGGATCAGCCATAGACTTTTTGCATTGAGAATACGAGTACGTGGTAATTTACCTGAGAGCATAGATTAAGAATAGTACCTACCACAGACTACCATAGACGTAGTATAATAGACTCGCCAACGGGAAACGTTAAATTGGGCGATATTCTGAAAAATGAAACTAAAATTAAAATACTTGATGCTGGCAAAAATAGACGTAAAAGTAAATATCGATTGCCATTGAAAAAAAGAAAAAAAAAAAAGCTTTGCCTACACATGTGATTAGTGTCAGTTGACATTCAAATAATTTTTATAATTTTTTTTTTATAAAATAATTCTTGTTATAAATGATTTACACGAAGCAAGAATGGTATACTCCAGCTGAAGTTGCAGTCCACAACCGAGCTGGCGACTGCTGGGTTTCGCTTAATGGGAAGGTGTACAACTTAACACCATGGTTGCAGGAGCAATTTAGGATCTGCAAATGCACCAAACATTGTTCATGTCCAATAAAGAATTGGTACTGTGGCGAGGATTGCGTTGAATACTGCCCTTGTTTTAAACGAGGCTTTTTATATTGCGACAGAAAAAGGGTAGGTTTGTTGTAAAAATCTACTATTTATTTTAAATATAGCTATAGTTATAAATATTATGATACATAAAAAGATTATGTACTTAGCGTGCTTTGTTTTATTCTAATTGAGCGTACACATAGTATTAAAAATCGTTGCCAGCGTCTGTTTTTTCCCTTATTATTTTTTTTTTTAAATCGGGCTATAGAAATTGTTACGGATTCTATTGTAATTTAGATAATTTTTTACAGAATTTTACAAAAGGCACCCGTGCCTAGTCAGGAATTGTTTATTTTATACATTACCTGCGACTTTGTGAATCTTTGTGAATCGGTGTACATTTTATTGATATCGGTTCAGCCGTTTAAAAGTAATTGAATAATAAACATAAAAATACAATTTTTCATTTGTAATGTTAGTAGGAATTAGAGCGGGAAGGGGGGGGGGGGGAGGGATTGTTAGTAATACCGATAGTGCAGGCGGGGTTACCATTCCATTATCATTCATTAAAAAAAACTGCATTTAGATGTTTCATGGTAACCCCGTCTGCGCTAACGAGATACGCTATCGGAGCACCAGTGAAGGGTGATAGATGAGAATGAAAACAAGCCAGTTAGCCCATCATGATGAATTCATCAGGAATTAACCATGATAGTTTCCAGGGAGAACCGCGAGGATATCGACCTGGTTGGGTATATTGCTAGCAATGGGATTTTCAGTCTCCATTACCAACAATCCCTTTCCCCCCAAGCAGAGGTGGTCATTGACTTCAATAATACTTGTTAAGTATGAATTTTTATTTCCAATTTTTGAATATATTTTTTTACTACTTAACTAGTCCATATCAAAGTTTGTTAAGTCACAGCTTCCAATATTTCATTGTAGTTATCAATGACAATTCTCGCGTACGCCGGCAAAGACATAAGCCACTGGTTCAAAGGCGAGGAGTGCGTTCGCTATATCCATCCCATCGTTGGTTCTTCCACCGTCTACTTGCCACACGGCCCTGGCCCTGAGCAGCCTGTGGTACCGTCAACTCGCTGGAGACCACAACAAAATCCATGGTGGACCGACGGTAGATACGTGGTGGGGAAAGTTACTGCGAAGACCCGGCCGATCAGGATTACTAATACTTTGACTAGTTAGTCTCTAGGGAAAATCAACTAAGTAATAATTAAGCTTAACTTTTAACGTGAGGAAATCCATCTGTCCAGACAAGATGAGTGGGTGTTGACCAAGTCCCACGAGCTAAAACTCCACCGTTTCGTCGCAGTGCCGGGACGACGAGTTGGCTTTCGCATTTTATACCAAGTAGCAATAGCAAGGAGACGTCAGCGATTTAAATAAGACGTCAGTTTTAAATAATTTTAGGGCCAATAACTAAAAATCGACGTCAATATGACGAATATTTGCTACCTGGGACCGGATTCCCGGCCGAAATACCCGACTTAGATAAGCTTCTTCTCGCTTGTTGAGAGCATTCTTTCCCCATTCTCAACCTTCAATGTAATTATTAAATTTATGGGCGGGGGATTATTACTAACATCTAGCGTCTCTTTACTCATAATAGGTCAGATTGATGTCCGCCTGATCCCTACCATCCCCTAGAAACACATTTTTTAATACCTGGTGAATTTGTGACGATAATTGTTTATTGACCTATCATTGTTCATTGGTGATCACGTATACCAGTAGCACAGATGTGGTTATCCTTCTATTATCATCCATAAAAGAATATAAACCTGATTTTAAAACAGCATTCATAATTTCTCCAGTTGGAGATAGTTATGCAGAAAATAGCCATCTATTATAGACATGCTTGATAATGTGGTTGGTTTTTGCATAACTGACTCCAATTTACTTCGGTCCACGCAGGCTCCACTGTAACCCTCGAGGTTTGCTCCGAGGAGACCCTCTATCAGATCATGATGCGGTATCTGCCGCATAACAGCCACATGCTCTCGTACACTTGGCGGTACCTTGGCAAACCTCTGCATTATGACCAAACACTGGAAGAGAACGGTATTTATGCCTTTTCATATTTCACTAGCAAAACTCCAGAGATGCCTTTTATGGTGCTTAGAATGTCAAACAAGTTGATCAACCTCCACGCCCATCTAACAGGCCTGTTTTCATCATCACCTCACATTCCTCACTGGTATCAGTGTATACCGATAGCGGAGTGGAGGTTACCATTCCACTTTCGCCCATTAACGAAAACGTGATTGACATCACAGAATTGACTGTGATGCTCTTGGTACCTCTGATGCATTGCCATTTCTGAGTACTGCAGTGTTATGCTTTATGCCTTTGTCCTTACCTTATAAGTAAACTGCCATATTTCATACTTAAAACCGAAACACGATCATGCAAGTCATGGGCGTATTTGAAGAGGATGCCGAGTGGATCGTGTCCATCCTACGTTTGTCTGGTGCTTATCCCAGAATAAGGAGCGGAGCTTTTTGTTATAAGTAAAGGCAGGTTGAAGAGTGCATATGCACCTATTTAAACGGCCACGCTCCTCTGGAAAATAATCTTAAATATCTCAATGCTGCAAGTACAGTTGCTTGGTGGCAGAAAGCGTCATATAAGCTGTTAGCTATCCACTGCTGAACATAGGCTTCTCTCTTAGGGAGTTTTGCCAGTATTTGTCACGCTTGGTAGGTGGTTTAGTAACCGCAGTTAGGCTTTGGTGATCTTTTAAGAGGAACACTGCTGCCCATCTTTCAACCATCAAGTTTTCTTAGTCGCTTCTTACGACACCTACGAGAAAGGAAGGGGTGACCTATTTTAAACCGGTTCTAAACATAAGTAAAAATGCTAAAATATAATAAAGCTATGACATAATAATGCTGGACATATGCCTTCCCCATAATGGGAGTTTTGAAATAGTTGCCAAGCTTGGCAGGCCGGTTGGCAATCGCAGTTAGGCTTTCAGAGATGTTTTAAGAGGGACGCTGCTGCCTATCCCTCTCTCTCTTAGTCATATGTAATTTTTTTTTGATGGATGAAAATGGTATGGTAACTCCGCCTGCGCTAACGGGATACGCTGGCGGAGCACCAGTGAAGGGTGATAGATGAGAATTAAAACAGGCCAGTTAGCCCATCATGATGAATTCATCAGGAATTAACCATGATAGTTTTAAGGAAGAACCGGAGGTCGACCTGGTTGGGTATATTGCTAGCAATGGGATTCTCAGTCTCCATTACTAATAATCCCTTTCCCCCCATTCATACGTAATTACGTACTCATACGCATGTAACAGAGTATTGAAGTACAATTATTTCTTAGGTATACCTGATGAAAGAGATCGATTCAGCGATGTGTTATTGCCTGAGAATATTCATATTCCGGCAATTTTGTTGTACTACAATGACGATTTGACTGAAGGTGAGTATTTGTACCTACCTATCTAAACACTTATTTATAGCTAGAGCAATCTGGCCCAACTTCGCACGAACGGGGGGAAAGAGATTGTTAGTAATGGAGACTGAGAATGCCATTGCTAGCAATATACCCAACCAGGTCGGCCTCCTCGCGGTTCTCCCTGGAAACTATCATGATTAATTCCTGATGAATTCATCATGATGAGCTAACTGGCCTGTTTTCATTCTCATCTATCACGCTTCGCTGGCTACGCGTATCCCGTTAGCGCAAGCGGGGTTACCATACCATTTTCACCCATGAAAAAAAAAACTTCACACGGATAGATAGATTTTTCGAAAATATACTTATATATAGAAAACAATGTATCATCATCAACATTTCAGCCATTACCCGTCCACTGCTGGACATAAGCCTCCCCCATAGACTGCCATAAAGAACGGTCCTGAGCCACCTGCATCCACTGACTCCCTGCAATGTATTTCAGGTCGTTACTCCATCTAGTGGTGGGGTCATCCAACACTGCATTTACCCGTACGCGGTCGCCACTCAAGAACTTTTCTTCCCCATCGGTTGTCGGTTCTTCGAGCTATGTGACCAGCCCATTGCCACTTCGGCTTGCTTATCCTTCGGGCTGTGTCGGTTATTTTGGTTCTTTTGCGGATATCCTCGTTTCGTATTCTATCACGCAAAGAGACTCCGAGCATTACCCTCTCCATAGCGGGGGGAAAGGGATTATTAGCAATGGAATTTGACAGCCCCATTGCTAGCAATATACCCTATTAGGTCGACCTCCAGGTGGTTCACCCTGGAAACCATCGTGAACAATTCTTGTTGAACTCGTCACGATGGGCTAACTGACCTGCTTCATCTTCACCTATCATCCTTCACTGGTGCCCCGCCGGTGTAAACCGATAGCGCGGGTGGGGTTACCATTACATTATCACCCACTAAAAAAAAAACCCTCTCCATAGCGCGCTGAGTAAATAATATATAAGAATAATAATATATACTCGCTAATAATGTAGCTTTTTATAGCAAACGAGCATGCGGCTCATTTGATAATAACGAGTGACTGCCTCCGCCCATGAGCAGCCGCAACACAAGAGGCAATGCAGGTGTGCCGTCGGCCTCTTAAGAAGGAATATGCTCTTTTCTTGAAGTTACGATATCGTATCAGTGTATGGCTAAGAACAAGGATGCAAAACGCAAAATGTCGATTGTGGCAATATGTCAAAGGTGGCATAACGTGTTATATTAATTTAAAAATTGAACTTTTGAACCGATTTTGATGATTTTTTTTTTGGGACAAATCTGTAAGCATATTCTTTCTGGCAAAAAAAAAATTTTGCATATCGGTTTGTAATTGTTTATTAACGGAGTTATGTGATAATAAACATAAAAAAAAAATACAACCGAATTGAGTAGCTTCTTTTTGGAGTCGATGGTGAATAAGCAAGGACTCAGTTTTGTGAGGAGCAATGCTGTCTTCCATCAGGCGTAGCGTATGGTTGTTTGTTACAAATATAATTATGTCTGTTTATTTGAGTATATTCCTCTTCGCAGATCCAGCAAGAGATGATTGTTTCTGTCACGATTTTACTTGTTTGATGCATCGAGATACAAAATGTGGAGAGTAAAATAAAATTGGTAAATTAAATAATACACTTAGTTTTCATATAAAATGCCGTAGGTATAAGTAATATAGGGTGTGAAAATTGTTCATCAGCGATTTCCATACCGCCATTGCTAGTCCAGATATGATATAGATATCTAATGAATATCCAATATCTAATATATGGATATTCTATTACTCAATATGGAGTTATTGGATCAATTTTGTAATATCATCATCATAATATCAGCCTTTAACTGTCCATTGCTGAACATAAGTCTTCCCTTGTGGGACGTGCTAGTAGTTGCTACTCTTGACAGGCGGATTGGCAACCGCAGTTAGGCTTTGGAGATTTTTTAAAAAGAACGCTCTTGCCAGTACTCGCCCATCCTTAGTCGAATCTTACGACACTCACGGGAAAAGAAGTAAATATTTAATATAAATTTTCGACCGTCGTAGTCGGGTAATAAAAGAGGGTTTGTTTTTGCACGGCCTATGGCCTCACTCGTAATGAATAATCATCAATGATTCAGTGATTGAACTTTCCATGTCGATGATTGCGCTGTTTTTGCTCATCGCTCGGAGCGTGCCAAATTAATTGCTGTTTGTAACACACTTACGGATTGCAGTTCTGTATTTCAACTAGTATTTATGACTAGCTGATGCCCGCGACTTTGCCCGCGTGGTATTCGTTATTCCTGTTTAGTATGTATCGATGTGTGTACCTACCTATTTATTGAAATGCATCATGCAGATTCATACGCCTCGGGGGAGGCCGATACTGCCGTACTCCTACCGACTAAAACCACCACGGCATCCCTCGCTGCGCCATAGTGTTGGGGATCCGGGTTTCTTTTCAAAGTCCTTTTTCTTTCTCACCTATCATCCCTCGCTGGTGCCCCGCCAGCGTATACCGTTAGCGCAGGCGGGGTTACCATTCCATTATCATCCATTAAAAAAAAAAAAAACTAGTTTGCTACTGGAGCAGGGTCGTAGCTAGACCCAAGTTTAGGGCAAAAGAATTTTTTGGTAGGGCAGAGGCCTTAAGTGACTTCGAAAAATCGAATCTGTCTGATTTTCTTGTGGCCTTTCATTTTAAGGCATTGGGCCGTTAAGGATAGGGCATTGCCTCTCAATGCTCCCCCCCCCCCAGCTACAGCCACGCATGATGGAAAGGGACTATTAGTAAGAGAGCCTAACCGCCCCATTGCTATTAATATACCCAATCAGGTCGACATCTACGCGGTTTCCAATAGCAATCATCGTGGTTAATTCTTGTAGAATTAGTCACGACGGAGTAACTCATCTTCTCTTATCCTAACCAGATAAAGTATACTGATAGCGTAGGCGGTTAACTGCATTCTCATCCATTAAAAAAAAAAATTGCCATTACGAGTCGCATAAAAAGATTATAACGATCGTCGCTCTATTTAAATACATTTTAAACTAACACTTTTTTTTTTCATACAACTTAGAATGGCAAACAAGCTGACGGCCCACCTGATGGAAAGTAGTAACCGTCGCTTATAGACATGAGCAGTACCATGGACATAACAGAGTATACTGTTTCGCCCATGATACCCCCCATGCGTTGCCATTCCTGAGGACTCAGGTGTTATTCCTCTGTACCCTGTAAATTCACGCCATATCCCACTCTTCCAACCGAAACACAGCCATGCAAACACAACTGCTTCACGGTTGAAACAAAAAACTTATCATAAAACTAATATTATTTTTTATTTCAACAAACACACTGATCCTACCGTCTGGGCATCAACAATACAAAGGTCTCCATAAACTTGTAAACCCATCGGATCCCATAAGGTCTGACACGCTCCGCCGAGCGTGCTTCCTGCGTGACCTGCCGCATGCCGCAAGAAAGCCCATTAGTATTTATACCTACCTTTTATATCAAAACGATCTGATTCTACGATTCTTAATTATTATTACGTTGTTGAAAATATATGCTCACGACCATAATCTCTTATAGGGTAGTCAGAAGTGTTCATTAACTCCACCTTTAAAATTATTTCTAAAATAAAAATTGCAATTTGATATTAGAGCAGTCCTTACTTTAAAAGACCAATATGAACTAACAGGAACTAATTCTCTTATTTATAAAAACGTCGTTTATAAAAAAATCCCAATTTGAAAGAAAGTGATAAAACAGTGTAATAGTTAATGCAGATTTGTAGGTTTTAATTTTAATTTTAAGGTTTAATTTCTAATAAATTTAACTCAAAATTATCTCGCGAAACTATCAAATTAAAACATTAGGTTAAGAGTTTAGAAAAGACAGAAATGGTGCTTCAGAATCGACCCCATTATTCTGAACGTAAGACTCGATATGTCCATATTTATTTTTGATATTCGATTAGGATCGAATTAATAATCATAGCGTTTTCGATTCAGAACTGTTTTCTATAGCCCATATAAGTATTTCTGTAATTACAAGGTACATTTAGTAAGTAGATAGTTAGAAACTATGTTATTATTACAACCATTATGCAGTTTCTAGTCCAAGTACCAACCCCACGCGAAATTGTTATTTCTAGACTTCAAATAATAACAGCTCATTTGCGTACTTACACGGTGCGACCACCACGCATGCGCGGATCTGATAATTCACCCATTTGTTGCTCCAAATTAACGCAAGAAAGAACCACATGCAAAGAATCATAAAATAAAAATAGCCCGCCGAGCAGCCATTTTTATCCATAGAGAATAGAGGCACGGTGCGTGTGTTTACAGAAGCGCGGGAATTAAAATGGCGGGAACATTTTTTTTATAATGCTCATATCGCGACTGGGCTACAAATGTAGATCTAGATAATATCAGCCATATTATAATTTAACTATATTATCGAGAATCGAACCCGTAATTTTATTTATGTAACTATTATTGCGGCTAGGAAATCGTCAAGTCGAATTCTCAGAATATTTTTTAGGTTTAATAAGAGTTGCCGTGGATATCGATTTTGATATTTGACTGGGTGGAGTAAATGATTTGTTTGTACGATTTGAAAGCTTTTAACGGTCACACCCCAAATATATGGACGTGTTCCCCCTAATTTTATCACTAGTACGACTTTAATGTAAGTAAACAATCACTCTTATTGATTTCTCGCTCAGTATTCACTTACTAAATCAACATTATGACAGACAGTATATATTTTTTTCTATTATATATGGCTTTGACATAAAAAAAATCATTGATTAACGGAATGCTAACCCCGTCTGCGTTATCGGTATACACTGGCAGGGCACTAGTTAGGGATGATAGGTGAGGATGCAACAGGCCAGCTGGTCCATCGTGTAGAATTCAACAATAAATCAATCACAGTGGTTTCAAGAGAAAACAGCGTGAAGGTTGATCTGATAGGGTATATTGCTGCAGTGAGATTGTCGACACCTATTACAAACAATCCCTTTTATAGAGAGGCATAATCTCAGATCATGTTAGCTATAAGCAATTTATAACTTAACCTGTACTAAAGTGTACTCGTAAGTAATTGTATATTACTTTAACTGTGGTAAAAGGATTATAGACAGACCATAGACTATACTAGAGGGAGACTTTGTACAAAAGTCGATTGCTTAGGTTTCTCTGTCCAATTCGTGTTTCAATCGTAAAGCAGTTGTGTTTGCAAGGCTGTGTTTCGGTTTGAAGGGTGAGATCTGGCGTAAATTTACTGGGTACGGAGGAATAAAACCTGAGTCCTCAGGAATGGCAACGTATGGGGGGTATCATGGGCGAAACAGTATACTCTGTTATGTCCATGGTACTGCTCATGTCTATAGGCGACGGTTACCACTTTCCATCAGGTGGACCGCCAGCTTGTTTGCCATTCTAAGTAATATAAAAAAAAAAGATTGAAAAAAAAAGTATAAATTGTTATGTTCCCTATCTATAGTATAGAGAATGTACCTTACATCACAGCCTTTACATTAAAAACATAGTTAATTTTAAATGAATTAATTTTGATAGTTAATATTTTTGATATTTGATATGAATTAAATTTGATATATATATAATCTTACAAGATTAAATCATGATGAAAAGGATATTCACACAATTTACGTATCTAAATAGTTTCCTTTTTAGGTTAAACCTTAGCTAATTTGTACAGACTTTGTTACAGCCCTCCAAAATGGACGCTTGAAGTAAGCCATTGTGTTATCTGAATTGGAACAATAGATAAAGCGCTCATCGAATTGCTTTATTGTCTATGGAACTACTGCCATCGACCTTACGACGCACCACGTCCGGTTAATAATTAATTAGAAAATAATAAAAAAAAAAAACTTATACAATACTTCCTTTGCTAATTTACTTTTTATTTCGAAAAACTTCTGTATTAACTATTATATTTTTTTTTTTGCTTTTTTGCCTTGTTCTGGCGCCTTTGGTACTTGAGTGACTTAGACTTTAGTAGAGCTGATCGAACAGGCTAGTTTAACTTCATGTGAACTCAATTAACCAATTTGTCCGGGGGGAAAGGGATTGTTAGTAATGGAGACTGAGAATCCCATTGCTAGCAATATACCCAACCAGGTCGACCTTCTCGTGGAAACTATCATGATTAATTTCAGATGAATTCATCATGATGGGCTAACTGGCCTGTTTTCATTCTCATCGATCACCCTTCACTGGTGCACCGCCAGCGTATCCTGTTAGCGCAGACGGGGTTACCATTCCATTTTCATTAGAAACACGAATGGGACAGAGGTACCCAAGCAATCGACTTTTGTACAAAGTCTCCCTTTGGGAAGTTTTAAATTCGTCTTAATTTTTGTGTGTCAAATATTAAATGGTTCTGAGAACTAACACAAGATGTAAATAGAGGAATAACACCTGAGTCCTCAGGAATGGTAACGCATGGGGGGTATCATGGGCGAAACAGTATACTCTGTTATGTCCACGGTACCGCTCATGTCTATAGGCGACGGTTACCACTTTCCATCAGGTGGGCCGTCAGCTGGTTTGACATTCTAAGTTGTATAAAAAAATGTTGACTTAAAAAATCATTATTT